TTGAAGCCTGTTGGGCAACTAGATCTAGTCGATCGCGTCTGCTGCAATGGAGATGAGCTTGCCCTAGCGTCATCCGCAAAATACTTTGGTGTCATTTTCGACGACGACCTGAGCTGGCGATCCCACATCCAACACCTTGCTAGCCAGACAGGGAAGACCGTAAGTCGTCTATGGCGACAAGAGGATGCACTTAGCATCTCGCCCCGCCAGTTATGGTATGTTCCCATGATACAAGCTGTGCTACGCCGCAAACGCCTTCTTCCCCTCGTTGTCTGCCGCTGGCCTCACTCGGCTTGAAATATCGGCGGAGTCCAGGGTTCGAGCAATCCTACGACTGCAGAACCTGATCACGACACAGCCACTAGGAGAGAGACTCTCATTGTCCACAATTGAGCGATTGTTTCAGCGAAAGCTCCTTATGTTTGCATTCCGTTGCCTGCACTCTCTGTCTAGCCGGGCTCACAATGTACTATAACAAGAATTTACCTTACTAAAAAATCTAAATAAATAAATAACGCCCTCTCTTGAATAGTGCCCCCCCCCCACACACACACCGGCTTGTCATCAAGCGCATGTGCAATTTGATGTTCTGTTGGTACTGTTCTTGCCCATGTCATGGCACTTGTGGGTTCAGCTTTAAAATGGATATTTAAAAGATTAGTGCGCAAGGGGCACTAATCACGAGAGTACTGTATTTTTATACATGAGTCCTATGATAATAGCGTTTGAGTCATTTATGTGGTTAAACATAGTCGACTCTTCAACGTCAAGACCGGATGTGATGCTCTGCAGACTGTCTCTCAAGACCACTGCCTCCTGCCACTCTGACGTGCTTGTAAAGTGGTCATGCGAAGTGGACTTGCGGTATTGATATTGCACATGCTTTTGATTGCCACTGGGTGTATGGTTTGTATAATCCCACTTTCCGACTGATAACTCAACGCAACTCTTCTAATAGGATCAACGAGAGGCTGTGTTGATGAAGGAAATTGAGAAAGTGAATGCAGAACAATGATGAAGAATGCTGTGATTGTTGCAATGCACGTGACAAGCAGAACAGTGCATGCGTCCGTGGAAGTGTACTTGAGAATGCTTATGGTGTTTGTGCGTGTCGGGCGTGGGGGGTTATGGGTGGGTGGTGGTGGTGGTTGGGGGGGGGGGGGGGGATATGGTGCAGGACCGGTTAAGATGCATAAGTCCGGTAGTTCGTTTGGACAGAGGGTGAATATGTGATACATGTCTTGTGAAAGACTCTAAAACATGATGTGACAATAAGCGTTGTACCAAAGAGACTGCTTCGAAAACGAACTTATAAAACTTCAAAGCAATAGAAAGCACAACCTATTATTATTAATAAAGCTGAGTAATTACGCAATGTATAAAAACAAGCATTTGCCAAATGGAAGGAAGAATGAGGAACAAACTAAGTTGTCGGTAAATCGAAACATGGTCACGTTACTACTGTATATATGTTGTGTCAGATGTATCAAACGTTGGAAAAAAACAATCATCAAAAAAATGAAAGCAGGAAAAGAAAATCTGAAAACAACACTTTGATATTGTGTGAGACACCAGTATCCAAATATTGTGTAAGAAGAAGTACTTGCAGGACGACTTGAATAGCAATTATTTTTAGATGTACATGTGCATGCATGCATTGGATGAGGAAAATGGTTTTTACTCAATTCCATTGGGACACATTTCTTCAACGTGAAGACTGGACGTGATGCGTTGAGCACTGTTATGGTAGTTCCCTTCGTACATGTAACTGCCACTGTTGAGTGCTAGTTTAGTTGTGATGCGCAATGGACCTGCAGTATTGATATGACACACACCACTGATTGCTCCTGGAAGTATGGTGAAAACATTTGCACTTGCTGTAGCATGATTTGACACGCCACTTTTAATAGGACCAGGATCTTGACAGTCTGTGTTGTTGATGAGAATAGAGATAGTGAAATCTGTCCATGTTGAGGAATGATATGATCCAAACGTTGCCGTGTACATGATACGTAGCACAGTGTCTGCTCTGGTCTTGTTGTAAATTACATTCATTGGGTTAACTCTACTGGTTCCTGTTTCTTTCCGGAATGTTTTCCATGCAACAATACCGCACTGTACATACGACAGTAGAAATAAACACATACTAGTATCAAAACAAAGTCATTAGAAATGCATACTATTGTAAATGCTCATACACGGACCCGTGACTATGCCGCACAATGGCCACAATGTGCACACCCTTTAAAGATTTTAACGTGAATACTTATAATTAAACATCCTTAGCAAAAGGACGATAACGCTGACTTTTCGGGTACTCACTCCCAGCCGTGACAAAAGACGTTATCGGGTAGCTCAAAATAACGGGCCGACGTTCGTTATGGTAATTCTGCAAAAAATGCAAAAAAACGCATTGTTTTGTAACTGGCGGGAGATAAAAAGCACGTGCAGATCGAGATGAGAGTCGAGATTGCTTCCTCTTGTGCCATTTGCGAGTTTTGCCTTTCAGTTGACAATGTCTGCGTCCTCTGCTTCGTGCCTTTCACCCTCTATCTCATCTGGGAAACAAAGGGACAGTTCCACGGCCCTTCTGAGGAAGAAATACATCGGCCTTTCCCAGACGTGCTGAGGCTGTAGAACCCTTACAGTCTTCGGTTTCCAAGGACCTGGGAACAGCCTGGGAACAGCCTTGGAACCTGGGAACCTGGGGACCTGGGAACAGCGAAAACTCATTTTCGCCCTGATTTTGCTATTCCAGAGTGAAAGACCTCGCCAAGGTATTTTTTTCGGAAAGACAGCAAACTAAATCCCTGGTTCAAAATTTTGAATTTCCCGCACCTGTTTTTACTTAAACACATATCGGCATGGTTGTCACATCTACTTCGTCTCAATTAAAATTTACATTGTGCTAAGGGAAAAGTCAGCTTGAACGATCCGAAGTATGGAAAGGTTTGCGTTTACGTTTAAGTTTTTTTGCTAAGGATATCTATTATATCTAATTACACACTACGTACCCGTTGAGTCCTCTCATTGTATTGTAAAAAATATTTATCACTGAATATCAACGTTTAGCGTGCAAATTTCAACGGCATACTCATCATCAGCAGATCGTGAGTTTCACCTGTTTGCATTAAAATTGTCTTCGTAAGAGGTATACACGTAGAGGTGCACAGTAAGAACGTCGTGCACTATCTACAGGTCTCTCTCGGTTTTTTTTAAACAAAAGCACAGATTCGTATTCAGTCTCCCCAGCTCTCTTCTATCATTCACGCTGGAACTGCTGCTGCATAGCCTCAAATCTAAAGACTTGGCAACTTCCCGCCTGCCCCTGACTCTTGCGCTATACTACCACTCAGAATTTCTCACCTTGCCCCCTTATGTTCAGGCTGCTCGTTTTCGAATCATCAGTTGCCTGATGATCGTAGTAATACGTGAAACTCAGAGTCTCGACACAGCTTCCACTCTCTTTTGTGCATTCCGTTTGCATTAATTGTGTTGATTTTGCACTTAAAAAAACTTCTCCGCTGACAAATTACATAGCTTGGCGAGAATAATGTGAGGTAGGCTTGGAATCGTAAATACTCTGCTTTTCTCCATTAATAATGGCGTGGATGGCTCTGTGTATAATATGCGTACCATTTTGAAAAAATTCAATTATGTTTTGGCAGCTGTAGAGTGTAGTGGTTATGACCCTGATCCACGAATACAAATGGACAGTGTACATAAACTCTGATCCTGTGCTCGGGACCTAAGATTCATTTGCGTCTGAAAGTAGGACGTAACTCTGTTTCCGGTCCTACGGAAGACAAGTGCTCAACCTGGAAACGTAGTGAGTAGAGCATTACCTTTTCAGGGCCTCTTTCCATGGTCGGCTTGACGTGTCTATGATACCTAGACCACATGTCGGCTGAGGGCAACAAGCCCAACTAACACTTTGCTCATATTTGGAACTGTGTTTTTTCCTGTTGATTAACTGAGTGCGAAGTCATTATCCAGTATGCTATCGCACAAACCAGCATTTTCATTTTACTGTTTCGTTTGCTCTTCTATAAGAGTGCAAGACCTACTTACTGTGGTGCTCTGCTTGTGTTCCACATTAGTAAGATCGCTCCTCATCGCATCCACCTCCATGTTGAGGTGTTTCTTGGCAGTGTGCAGTTGAGATTTGGTGGCCATAGTAGAGAAAGTGGAGAGGAGATCTGACTTGGTGTCATTAACCATTGCTTTGGTAAAAATCAATGAGGCCTTGTTGTCATTCACCATTGCTTTGGTATCAATCAATGCCGCCTTGTTGTCTTTGACCATTGCTTTGGTATCGATAACCATGGCGTTGCTTGTAATCAACGCAGCCTTGATGTTTTTCACCATTGCCTTGGTCTCTTGGAGTTCGGATTTTGTTTGCTGGTGTTCGGATTTTGTTTGCTGGAGTTCGGATTTTGTTTGCTGGAGTTCGGATTTTGTTACGAGAACATCCTCTCGCAAGCGATCATTCTCCGCATTCAGTGTGCTGCGCATTTCCTGTATGGTATTGGAAATCTCCTCTTGGAATGTACTGCGGTCTGGGTTAATATTACTTGTAATCTCATCATGGTAGGCCCTGAATGCCGTGGCCATCGAATGAAATTCGTACAGAAGCCTAGACATCTGGCGATCACGCTGATCAATTTTTTTGTCCACTTGCTTGTTTTGCTGCTTTAGGTACTTCACCTCACGGCAAAGGTTGGAATCCAGAGATGACGTGCAGATATCGGCTGCAGGAGTAAGGAGAATAGCAAATGCGTATTGCCATTGAAGGCTAGTTTGTGAGGATTATTGTAGGTTAATTAGATTTATGCGTTAATGATGCAGTATATGTTTCTAGCATACCGTGTACCAATCTGTGAAAGCAGGTTAGTTTTCAAATTTAAAGATCAGAAACATATTTTCTTCTCACACATGCATAATACTACTGCATATGAACATTCCGAAAGCAACTCATCTGTACAACCCTTAGCAGCTACAGAATATATTCACCAGAACGTACCTATGATATCATTATTAAACGCTTGTTCGCGTTGACATCACCAATCAAGCTTGGCTAGTCTTCGAAGAAACCAAATGAACAAAAGAAACGAGGAATGAGCGAGGCCAATGATAATATAATTATACTGCATTTGCATTTGAATACTGAATACGATTGAACACGATTCAAGCTAGTCTCCACTGCGGACCCGTTTTCCTGTTAATGGATTCACAATAGTCAACTGAACAATACAACCTGGCACCGTACCTTGGCAGTGGAGACCATTTCCATGGTAACCATTCTTGCACGTACATGTAAACGATCCAAGAGTGTTATTACAGTTAGCATGTTCATGACAGGGTGATGGTGTGTAGGTACACTCGTTGACATCTGTAGACACAATATACAACAAAACGTTAATTGAGTATAGAGGAACAGCTTTCTGAATGTTTTCTGAATGTCTCGTAGGTTATTATCCGTAATGGGGTCAACTTTGCAGTGGACTTATACATACCATTCTGCTTCAGTGCATCTTTCTGCTGTAGATAACCTGGAAATTGTTGTTCTTAATGCTATGATATACTACCAGGTCGGATGGCCAGACTCGTATGGAGAGCCAAGGACTAAAACGAAGAGGGCCTATTGTACCAAAGCATCAGGTCATTGGATGTCACTACCACATCTGCCAGGATTATACTAATTATAATTAGGAAGACATGTACTTCAAGAAGTATATCTTAATTTGCTAAATCTTATATATTGGATTTTGGGCATATTTTTCGACTCAAAATGGGTGTGGCATGAGAATAGCAAAACGTATGTGACCAATTCTTCCTTGCTAGGTCTTAGTAGATATTGAGAGTTGAATAAGATAATTTTTTTCAAACACTAACATCTCAGGCTCATCTCCTTGCTCAATTTTACTAAGGCCTGTGCCCTATTTTTCGAATCTTATACATAGGATTTGAGAATTTATTGGACCTCGTTTTATCCTTAAAACTGGTAGTTTCATGACGGCATGTGCGATATGTCATCATGAAACCACCCCGTGCCACACCTGCAATGTTCTTCTGCACATTCACTGCTTCAGTCCTTTCCATGACAGCAGCTGAACAATTATGCTCAAATTTCCAATTATTGCTAAAAATGGGTATTCATCAGAAATATTATCGCCCTTTGAATCTAAAATGTAAACATTCATGCCTCAAACATATTGACAACTTCCATGAAAACCATTATGCCGTTATTACTGGTCGTGATGACCAAAACAACGGCATAAAAGACACACATTTTCAAATCCTATATAGGATTTTTGGCCAGCAAATTAAGAGATACATTTCGAATGATACCTATAAACTGTAATTGTAATTTTTGGTGTGCATTGTAATTGGGCGAAGTATTGTTGTTTACCTTTGCATATACGACCATCACCATAGTAACCATTAGCACATTCACAAGCAAACGATCCGTGTGTGTTCAAACATACGGCAATGGCAGGATCTGCACAATTGTTGAGTGATGCATCCGAGCACTCGTCGACATCTGCAATACAAATACAAACCAAATTGGATGTGCTTCCAGAACACAATGTCGAGGCAAATCATCCTGAAAATGTATTATACCAAGAGTACATAACCCCAAGAGTGTGCAACTGCCTGCACAACCTCTATGCTGTGCTACGACGGCAGAATTGTGGCAAGTCCAGGGCTGAGCACACTCCTACAGATGATACGGCACAAGAAGATGACGACAGTGATGGCTCCACACCAGCCCGTAGGCCGAAAAAGAAGAGTCAACAAACGGCCGACCAGAGACCAGGTAACCAAGCTGCAAATTGTGAGCTCCTGGATGATGCCTTGAGTAGTGTTATGCACCGGACAGGATCACACTACGAGGTTCTAGCCGACAACATTATTCAGGGAGCCAGGCAGGGAGCCGCTAACGCCCGCAGGCACAGCCAGGCGGTTAACGACACCTGCAGTCGCTAACAAGCCCCAACCTCGGACGTACGTACACCATTGCTACATAATGTATCCTCATTCAACAAAAATAATAGTCATGTACCGGTATATTACATTGAAAATGATAGGAAATTTCACACACACTAGTTCTTCCTTTTCTCTACATCACTAAATCTCCTAGCATCATCTTTCATACCAATGAGCAACCGAAATCTGCGATCATGTACCAACCACGACACATCCCACTTGTCCTAAGGGTTCATGAACGTATGCAGTCTCCGCTTCAAGGTCTATGCTCTAACCACACTGATCCCCAAGTACGACATCCTGTGTATAGCCGAAACATGGCTAAACAGCGCGATCTCTGACGGAGAAGTACAAATACCAGGTTATAAACTTACCAGATGTGACCGCGAAAACAGGACTGGAGGCGGTGTATGTATCTACTACAAATCATCACTTCCCATCACGCCACAGCCAAATCTCCGCCTAGACGGCGTCGAAGCCGTCTGGATACTGCTGCGATCGAAGTCCCAGAAGCACCTGTTCGGATGTGTATATCGTCCCCCGCAGGAGCCTGTCGCGTACCTGACTCTCCTGGACTCTGCCTTCCATAGAGCGTCTCTGGTGACAACATCAATGACCGTTGTAGGAGACTTCAATGTGGACATGTTCCGAGGCCAGAGAATGGCGCAACGTCATCACCTTGAAGATGTCGCATATGCTTACAGCCTCACAAACCACGTGCTCTCCCGGACAAGGATTACACCTCTCTGTCCCCAAGGTAGCACCATAGATTTAGTCCTTTCTACAGAGAACTCAGTGTCAACGTGCACGGTTGTTCCGTCCACCATAAGTGACCACTTTACCGTCCGTGCTACGATGACCTTTGCTGTACAGACGAAGAAGTGTGTGCGTGCTCCACCAACACGTAAGCTGCACAAAATCGATATTCCGCTATTTCGCGAGGACCTTAAATATTGCTTTGCGCAAGACATCCCCTCTGATGCCGATGTCGACACTAACTGGGAGCTCTGGCACGATCGGTTTATGACTGTGTTGGACACACATGCCCCGCTTGTACAAGGGGCAATGAAATCTGCAGAACCTGTGCCTTGGTCAAACCGCGACATTTATCAGTTGGACAAGAAGAAGAAAAGGTATCATCGCCTTTGGCTGGCCGACAAAGGAAATGTTCAACTCCACCAGCAGTACCGGAAGGGTCGAACTCAGGCAACGAACATGTATCGCCGTTGTAGGAATGAGTACTTCGCACGACAATGCCAAGAACATTCCAGAAACCCCCGCTAGATTTGGAAAGTCATCAATACCGTCACCGGACGCGGGAAGCACAAAACCGAACCAACCTGCAACATCGAAGAGGTAGCCAACGTGTTTCATGACATTGTGACGGATCCAAAGCGCCCATCATGCCTAGCCTCTCCCGTCGGCCCACTTCCATCGGATAGCCTGCACACGTTCCAGCCAGCCTCTTGTTCCGTAATCTACCGTCTACTAAGTCGTCAACCATGCGAAAGCAACGGGCAGCGACGGTGTCCCAGGATTCCTCCTGAAGTCCTGTGCTGAGGTCCTCACACCATCTGTCACCACACTCTTCAACCTGTCACTGAAATCTGGTGCAGTGCCTGCCGGTTTCAAGTTGGCGGCTGTAAGCCCGCTGTTTAAGTCTGGGGATCCGTCTCAGCCGACAAACTATAGGCCAGGGTCGCTACTTCCGATTTTGTCAGAGTTGCTGGAAAAGCTGGTCCAGCGGCAGCTTGTACGGCACCTCGACCACACCGACGCTATCCCGGAAACTCAGTTTGCATTTCGCCGGCAGCACTCGACGGGTGATGCACTAGCCTTACTGGTTGATGGCGGCTGCAAATGGCTCGCGACAAGAAGGACTCCTCTGGAGTGTGCTTCCTTGACATGTCGAAGGCCTTCGACAAAGTGCGGCATGCAATTATGATCCAGGACTGCTTTGAAATTGGAGTTGGTGGTACGGTGATGAAATGGCTCGTTAGCTACCTTAAAAACCGGACACAAGTCCGCATCGGTAGCGAACTGAGCAACATCACAGTATGCACAAGTGGAGTACCCCGGGATCTGTATTGGGGCCCATGTTCAATATATACACCCGAGCGCTAGCTGCAGTAGCTCACCCGACCCCTAGCATACAATTTGCTGACGATATTGCACTGTACCAAAGTGGTTCCAACACGGCAACTATTTCACTGGGACTCTCGTCATCCGTCACTGCGCTGGCCGACTGGCTCGAAAACCGCGGCCTGATATTGAATGAACGCAAAAGTCAAGTTCTGTCCATCTGTGGGAAGGGATGCGCAAACCAGTATCGCTGTAAATTGCCATCAGACCCGCTTACCTGCTTGTACTGCGGCCAAGTACTTGGGTTTAACCGTCACCGAGTAACTGACCTGGGACCACCATATCCACGATGTTACAGCGAAGGTGAACAGGAAAGTCGGAGCATTGTGGCGAGCCCGGCGATCCCTTTCCCAGAAGGCCAGGGTCCAATACCTAAAATCTGTTGTGTTGGCCGACCTATTATATGGAAGTGTGGCCTATAGAACATCCCTCTCAGCTTTCGCTCTAGGGAAACTCCGACGTCTTCAGAACCGTGCCATCCGCGCTGTGTTCAGCCTACCACCCACATCTTCGGTAAGCCACCAAAGGGAGAGCATATCCCTCCGCAAAATCGTGGAGACACAACACCACCGACTCCTCGATCTCATCTGGCGCGGCCTGAACGGCCAATGTTGTACAGCGCTTTCAAAGCAGCTGACGCCCGCAACCACGGCCCCAACTCGACATCAAGCCAACGCCGGGCTCATTCTCCCGTTGGCCAGGACGAATACAGGCACTCGCCGACTGTTCTTCCGTGGACCTGCGCTGTGGAACACTCTGCCAGCCAGTGTACGTTCCTGCAAAGCCGTGGCCGATTTCGCAGCAGCCGTGTACCCGTACACTCTCAGGCCATAAACGTTTTTAAAAGAAGAGAAACAGTGACATGCACCCCCCCCCCCACACACACACACGGACAGTATGTAGAGGCATATAACGAACGGTCTTTTCCTGTTAGCTCTGTCCAATACATGAGATAAAACGTCTTTCTTGTTGTTTTTCCTTCTCCATGTACATGTAGCTGCTTCCAGCATGGTAAACGACAGTACCATGGCCTTTTCAGATTTTCATTGTACCTATTTGTAGTACCTACGAGGGATCAGTATTTTCCACTTGAAATAACATCCACCCCAATGCCTCATTCTTAGCATTGTTTTATTCGCTTCCATGTAGTTGGGCTTATTGCCCGTTTGGTATTGCGAATTCAAATAAAAAACAACAACAACAACAACAACAACTTCACATCACGTGACATGGTTCAAAATGTTATGCTGGCAAACAGTGCAAAGTGACCACAAGAGAGTTGCACCCAAAGCTGGGCTGCGTACAACCCTGTATCTATCATGCACAGAGTGCAAATAATGTGTACGGATTCATCACGTGATGTGAAGTTCTGCCGTCGCAGAGTAACGCAGACACCTTAGCTGGAGTTGCACACTCTTGGGGTTATGTACTCTTGACTATACCCGTAGCTATACAAAATACGTTAGTTTTATGCCTGGCACTACCCCGTACCTGTCCCGTACCGTACCATCAAAGACAGCTGGCCACAATATTCAGGCTGCGTTTACACGACAACGATTGAAAACGATTTGCGTTTACACGACAACGAAATAGGACCTAAACGGAACGAAATCGTTGCGATTACTACTATCGTTTACACGACAACGCCCGAAAACGATACCTAAACGGAACGAAATGAAAACGCACTTCAAAGTGTTTTGAAACGTTTTCAAAACGTTTTCAAAACGTTTTCGTTCTCGTGTAAACGGTGAAAACAGTGAAAACGATTGGAAACGGAGCGCGGTCATGGAAACCATTCCGCGCGGGACTATATTTCGCGGGAAATACCTGACCTTTGCGACCACCAGCGCGTACCAACTCCAACTAACGTGTTACTTCCCGCCCTTGCGCCAAGCCAGCACGTACTAACTCCAGCCTGCTCGCCCGTTTTCCGTTTTCGTGTGAACGGTTCAAAACGATTTGCCGTTCTCGTTTAAACGGTTTGAAAACGATTCGAGGCCAGCCCGTTTTCGTTCCGTTTCGTTTCGTTTCGTCTCCGTGTAAACGCAGCCTTAAATAGAGCTTTCAAATACAACATCACAACGTGAAGCAACTTGGAAGAATGAGTATGTATGCGAAGTGTATCGGGGGAATGCGTGCAGGGCGATAGTGCGGGTTTGAATCCTAGGTTATGTCATGACAAAAAAGGAGAATATTTTTTATAACACCGCTATGCTTTTTTTGCCTAGGTCATCAAGGTGGTAGACGGTGTCGTATTACCCTTTGAATGCAAAGAGAAAGTGTATTTATTTCGCTCCAGGGCCCTACGCTATGCTTTTTCCCTAGCTCATCATGCATGTTATATAACCCAATACATTTTTCAATGGACTTTATGCCATTTGTACAGATCCACGAAATCCCGTAGAACTCCGTAGATCCGGTAAGATGTTAAATGTGCAGGACCCTATTGTGTTTTCTGCTATTTCCACTAAGGAATGGGGCCTGAAGGCATTTCATACGAAAACCATTTTCTGACAAAGATCTAGCTAGTCATAAGTTCTAACCAAAGTGAAGAAGCTGGAGAAGCTATTGCTGGTCATTGAATTACTGTATAGCAGGAAATTTTCGGACGGAAATATTTTCGGACAAAGCCGAATTTCGACCTTTCGAACGGATTTTATTTTCGTACAGTGCTGCATGCTAAATGCACGTGTTCGCAATTTCGCATGCGATACGCATGTATAGTGTACATAACTTCACAGGAACAAATTTTAGTACGGAATTAATTTTAGTACAAAAGAGGCCGTGTACGAAATCGTACGAAAATAAATTCCGTCCGAAAATTTCCTGCTATACAGTATGACGCTAAAAAGGTCAAATGCGCATGCATAGCACACAATGAAAACGATACCGGGCTACGGGATTCTACGGGATTTCTTGGATCGGTACGAATGGCATAAGGTCGATTACTTTTGCCTAACTCATGTTCAAACTGATTGAAACGTTTTTGCAATACAATGATGTAGCCAATCAAATGAAAAAAACATTTCCATCAGTTCTAATAACATGGATGTGACCTAGGCCAAAAACCATCGCCCTGAGCTTTCAAGCTCTCTCGTTACGATGTGTGTGACCCATGGACATACTTTGTGCCATTAAGGAGCCATTCCAGCAGTTTTGAGAATGGCTTTCTGTGCTACTTAGGGCCTGGCCAGACTCCGGCAAAATCGAATTAATACTGTGATTATAATCCGAATCTCCATAGTAATTTGCTGCCAGAGCGGCAAAATCGAGAGTTGTCGTTCCAATTAAACGCAAGGACGGACCACGGTTTTCCGCTCCAAACAGGAGTTTGACGCTGATACGCCATTGACGCTGATATTCACTGATTTTTTCATCCCGATATCCAGGAGCTAATTGGCCACGGACAACAGCAAAACTCACAAGGATGGTTGGAAGGTTTGCACTGAAGGTGTTGTCGATCCCTGAGGTGAAGGAATTTGACTTCGTTCGTGGAGATCACCACTTGACGCTCGAAATGAAGTTTGAATTTTCATTCTCCCCACATGTGTAATGTGATCGCGATCCTAATCCCGGACGCTCTTCTTTTTTCGCCAGGCCCCGAAAATTTGCCTCGGTCTGACCACGCCCTCAACTCAGGCATACCGAACGCGCGCGATCAGTGCCTCTGTGGCACTGTTTTTGCAATGTCCATCACAGATGGGAAAACAATATTCAAGAGAGGGCACTACTTTTTCAATGCTGGTACATTTACGTCATCCAGCAAAAAAAAAAAATAAAGGCAAAGACCAACACAGACTAAACTTTACTTTAACCCTCATTCCGGGTTGAAGGGTCCACACGGACCCCAGGGGTATGATTTTTGAAATAATTTTATTTTGATGCATCACATCTCACTGAAACTTCATGTATTCTCCAACAATACAATAACCGAGATCAATTAAATAATAGTCTGGGTTAGAGGTTCATGATGGTTTTCACTTCTGTAGCGGAAAATGCGGGCTGGGTCCAAATGGATCCCAGGAACATAGAAAACAGGGAAGTGCAACAATTGTGATAGTTTTGGTATTTATCTCCACTGTCACCGAATACATGGATGACATCCACTGAAGTATGTGGCCCTGCAAAAAAATGTTCTTCTACAGCCAGAATCCCTCATTCCATGTTGACTTTTTTCCTACGTTCCCAGTATATTGGGGTCTTTTTGGACCCCAGGAACGTTTTGGGTGGTACTCTTGCAAACTTGCAAAATAATCCCGATGAACTTAAGAGCTGTCAACGAATGCAGTTTGGTCAAAGCATTGGTCTATGGGAAGGTTACACGGCAAAAAGTACATAAAATGGAGAGTTTGCAAGAATACAGTACCACCAAAACTTTCCTGGGGTCCAAAAGGACCCCAATATACTGGGAACGTAGGAAAAAAGTCAACATTGTTCATATCTGCTTTGTAAGACCCGGCACCCTCCTGAGTGGGAAACCCCGAAGCAGATTCTTAATCGTACTTGTGACTGGTCATCCCTGAAGTGGCGTCGTCAGATTCTGTCCTTGCTGTATTTTCATCATGTCTTTTACCAGTTTCCATCTTTGCTAATTCGTTTCAAATTCAATGTATCCCTTAGTTGTCGTCACCCTTCCTCTATAGTTTTACCTCGTTCTGGCGCCCATTTCCTTAAATCCCCTCTCCTCAGTTTATCTGTGGAATGGAACAAACTTCCAGAACACATCCGCTGCGTTCAGTCCTCTGTCAATTTTCGCATTGCTCTAAAGGCTCATTACTCTCAGCATAGATATTCCCTGACTGGAATTCCGAACTTTTCCGTTTGAGAAATTTTTTTTTCTTGAAATTAATCCTTGCTGGGTTTTTTTCATCTAAATGTCCCGCTATTATCTGCAGAGATGATTTCTTGCCTCGTCGATTTCTTTCCTGCTTTTATACCTCGATCTTTAGCCTACTTGTTTCCCTTCTTCCCATGCTTCATCTTCCACTCTCCTCTCCCCCATTTCCCCATTTTTCTTGCGATATTTATGTGGGAGACTTCCGTGATAAGCATCCATTTGCTTTTGGAGAATCCTTTTAAATAAATACAATACAATACAATACATGGAATGAGGGCTAAACTACATGTGTCACGACTCAACAGAAAGGGCGCCAAGGACTGAGGTTTGGATCCTGAAACGACCAGTGCAATGATACAGACAAGAACATTACCAAAAGAACACCAAACGAGCACATGCGCTTGATTGGGGGGGGGGGGGGATGCACCGTCAACAGAGGGCTCTTATTTTTCATTGGCTCTTAGAGACTGGGGCACTATTTAAGAAAGGGCTCTAATCGCCCGAGTATGGTAAGTGAAGAATACAGGCATAATCGATCAGTAGAACTACATTAAACGTTGAACATGTAAAGGTATGAACAAGAAAGCCCCTGCGGATTAACATAATTTCAAATCAAGCCGCTGCATAAGGGTTAATTGTGGAAATATTTGAAGGTGCTTGATGTAAAGTTATTGGGTTTCCCGGAACCCATCAGGAATTACTAATGTTACCTCCCTTGTAATGTAACTTATCCCTTTGTTTTAAAATTGGTTATGAGTGTTTTATTTCATTTGAGGAGAATGTCCGAAAATTGGGTCATGGATTTCGGAGTCCTTATTGTTGATCATGGTGAACTTGACATCTCTACTTTATCTTTCCCTGATTACTAATGTCCAGATGTATTTTAATATATCAATAAATAGAACTACCGTAATTATGCCGTCATCACCTTCCATCAACTAAGTCAAATGTTTCCTGAATCTATTGGCTAGTTTTTGTTGTTGTATTGTATTTTATTAATTTACTTTGGGATTCCGAACAGACCCTAGGGTCTTCTTACAGGGTGTCATGTCATTATGCATCGTGACCGAAACTTGACTTCGTTGATGCATGGTGATGACGGCCGAGTTAGTTCTATTTATAGCCATAATGAAAATGTTTGCCTGCGCATGCGCGGGGTGCATCCAAATGCATTGCGTTAAGAATTATTAAAAACCTTTAAATCCCCCGAAGCCACGCTTTAAAAGATTTTTTACTAACCAGACTGACACTGTTGGCCTCTTAGACCGAGTGGACATACACATGTGGGTTTGGCATGCCTAGAATGATGCCGACAAGTGCCACCTTCACCACAAGGAGGTGTCACAGATGCTAAGTCCGTAGGGCAACTTGCATTGCGAGCTGAGGAACAAAAGAAAAGAGGACATTGCCAATGAACGTCTACGCAGCACACAGCCAATGCGCTTTGTACAAGCAAACAAAACCAAATCTTTGAATTAGATCCATGCTCAACTATCGGGTTTGGATAACTTTACATGAATTCAATGGCTGGAAAATTAACAAAATAGTATATTGCAGTAACATAGTAGTAGAAAACAACAGTTGGAATTTACTTTGACATACCGACACAGATTTTCAGATTATTCACCAGCCTGGAATTGAAAGCGAGTAGCAACTCCAGTACGATATCCCCGAGTGTAGATATTTTCATCTCGTCCAGCTTAAGTTTGACGACTCCCGCCGAAGCCGCGTAAGTCTGCGCCTCTGTAGGACTAGCACCTGCCAATATCAGCCATTGCACAAGGCAGTTGTATGGTGGAGACGAGGTGGGTTCAACTAAATTCACATTGTCACAGAGGAGATAGAAAGGAACCAAAGTCTGCAGAAATTGATTTCAGGACCCCTAAAAAAACGGTGCTATCAATGTAAATACCTATGCAGCAATTTGATAAAAGCTTTTTGTACAGACCTAGCTGGTTCTGCAGAGTATCTGCTCCTTCTGAACTTTTCTGCTGAATTCTGCTCATTCTACTCCTTTTCTAAAATAAACCATATTCTGCTCGAAAATATGGAGGCATTATCCGCCAGGGCCTATATTCAACATATTCCGCGAAAATAAAAGTATCCTGCAAAAGAATAGGAATGTAAACAACATGTGAAAACATAACATTTCATGCTACTAACACAACCTGTGACTAAAATAAACATAAGATCAACCCCAAAACATTTCTTGCAGGTTTACTTTCGTACAGTTTGCGACTTTGTGTTCCTCCACCCACCTAGCATCTTCTAAATATCCTCAACCTTTGTTCTGTCCGAGATCGTGTATATACATTCATTGTTTCGTCACGTCGTCATGGATCAGCTTATGCGAAGGCTAACCAACCTTGTAATATAATGTTGAGTGGTGCTTGATTGTCTAATCCAAAAACCGGATTTAAAGGGTTTTTTATTTTTTTATTTCATCTTCCCGTGACAAGGCAATATAGGCCAATATGGAGGGAAGGAGCGATAGCCAGCCATGGCAGTACGCAAAAATGCAACAAAAATTACAAATTACTGGAGGCAATAACCTTCACAGGGCGAGGCAAAGATAACACAATCTGGATGTAGAATTAGCAGTTATTAGAACTTGAGCTTCCTGTTGGTCTTGAAATCATTTAACGTGCAACACGAGTTTACTGATAAAAGCAGGGCCAGCCAGAGAGAATAGGCAGCGAAAAACGGAGATCTGGTATCAGCTGATGTTCGGGCTTTAGCGAACGTACAGGGATTGCTTTCATTGCGTGTAGGATGAGTGGGAAGAAATTACAGTATATTTACGCATGTGTGGCGGGAAATTGTCAAGACAAATAGAATGAACAACAATACACAGTTTTCGATCTGCTTGACTAGAGATGGGGAAGGTGTTAAACATATCATACAGCTCGGCAGAAGGAAAGTATGATGGTTTTGCGGAAAAGAACTTTCAATATCTTGTTATTGTGTACTTCCAGGGTACTCATTAACGATTTACTTCGTAGGCATAGGCAGGAGGTGGAGCAATAGAGAAAAATGGGGAGAATATAGCAATGATAAAAAAGCGAATGCATTCATGCGGTAGGTGGTAGCATTAAGACACGAGGTAGCCGTCGGCTTTACTGACTTTGCTAGAGATATATTCGACATGTCTACTAGACGATAAGTCTGAGTCAATGACCAAACCAAGATGCTTGTGTTGCTTTACCTCTGTGAGATCTGTGAGGAATCCGGGAAGTGAGTATGCAGGGGTTGGCGCTACGTTCGGAAGAAATAATATCTTAATATTGGCGATATTTGGTCTTAATCTCGAGGTAGTCATCCACTGATGGACTTTGTTGATACCGCGCTGGAGTCTGTCTCGCAGCCTGTCTAGACTATCATTGAACCGGAGCAGTGCAGTATCTTCAGCAAATAAGGACACACCTTCAACATGACTGGGAAGATCATTAAGAGAGCATGTCTGAGAAAACCAGAACATATGTGCAAGTCGATCTCTCAGATTTCGCTCAAAGTTTGCAGGTAGGTTTGCTTTGGGGTGTAGATCGACATTCCAAAGCCCGCGCAAAATCCTTCGAAGGGAACCATGAAATTGGCATATCCCTAAATATTGGCCCAATATTGGCACGATTTATGGGTCTACAAACGAGCCACGGCACAGCGTACAAGAACAAGCTACGAACAAAACTCCATCAAGCCAACATTACCTCACCTTAGACGAGTTCTTGGGGCAGCACCACTTAGCCACGCCAGCATCCCAGAAGACGAGGGCAATCATTCCTTGACGCCACAAATTATCGTCTTGAAAATAGCCAAATTACAAGCGCTGATAAAACAGCGAGCTACGTCCTCAATTAGCAAACACTATACACCGGCAGATAGTAGAACACCTCTTCTAGCACTGAGAATATGTCCCCCATCATCCTTTTTGGGTTTTCTTGAAATAAACAATTTTGAATTTTTCCACTCGACCATTCTGAAATACGTCCAAACTCATACCTGCGCAGGAAAGCTCGTCCCTCCGCGACGTCTAGTCAGCAATTTCTACTCCAACACCACTCTCAACGCTGCAGAACACAGTGTATTGTTGACTCCCACAAGGAAAAGCAGCGGTGATCACTTGTCACTCCAAACGACAAGCTTCTCCTTGCGCCACCAACATTTTTCGGTGCAACAGTTGATGCAAAAGTGAATGAAATTTTGCGTGTAGTTTTTGGATTTTACTGCAAGAGGAATGATGAAATCACGTGTCTCGTGACGTAGAATAATGCTTTCTGGTGCACGACACAATGCACACGATCACGATCGTTCCTGAGGCGCTATTCGAAACGGACCATGAGGGAGGAGGTAAGACGCATTATATTTCTTGCATGCTCTGCTCAGAACCTGCAGAAGCTATCGTTATAGCGCTAGCAGTATTGCATTGGCAAGAATTCTTTGATATAATCCTCTTGCAGTGAGAACAGGGATGCATTTTTTCACACTAACCTCGCTCATCCCGAACATGTTTCAACAGGAACTACGGCTAGTTTACATGCTGATGATTCACGTAGATCTGCAAGAGCAAGGAATGACCGTGGTCCATGCCATCAAGGTTGCTTGGAGTTGACCAGCGCGCGGCCTACACTGCACTGGTTGCATGGCCATGGGGTATGTGGCGCGACCACATGGCAGATTTCTTACGTCATGAACAACGTGATTTGGGCCTACTCGCCCTAGTCTCTGTGCAGCATGTTGAGGGAAAGTCCCGGCTGGAAGGACTACAACACGACATGCGTGCTCTTCAGCTGGACATCAAGATGCACTCTATCCGATCTAGATCACCGGGTGATCTGTGTAATGCAGGTGCGCTTGATCAAGGTGACTCGGAACCACTGCTGAACCGTGATCTACGAGACCTGGCATTCTTGTGTCACAAGGCACGTGATTTCATTATTCCTCTTGCAGTAAAATCCAAAAACTACACCCAAAAATTCAGTCACTTTTGCATCAATTGTTGCACCGAAAAATGTTGGTGGCGCAAGGAGAAGCTTGTCGTTTGGAGTGACAAGTGATCACCGCTGCTTTTCCTTGTCAGAGTCAACAATACACATTGTTCTGCAGCGTTGGGAGTGGTGTTGGAGTAGAAATTGCTGACTAGACGTCGCGAAGGGGCGAGCTTTCCTGCGCAGGTGTGAGTTTGGACGTATTTCAGAATGGTCGAGTGGAAAAATTCAAAATTGTTTATTTCAAGAAAACCCAAAAAGGATGATGGGGGACATGTCCTCAGTGCTAGAAGAGGTGTTCTACTATCTGCCGGTGTATAGTGTTTGCTAATTGAGGACGAAGCTCGCTGTTTTATCAGCGCTTGTAATTTGGCTATTTTCAAGACGATAATATGTGGCGTCAAGGAATGATTGCCCTCGTCATCTGGGATGCTGGCGTGGCTAAGTGGTGCTGCCCAAAGAACTCTTCTAAGGTGAGGTATTGTTAGCTTGATGGAGTTTTGTTCGTAGCTTGTTCTTGTACGCTGTGCCGTGGCTCGTTTATTGACCCATAAATCGAGCCAATATTGGGCCAATATTTAGGGGTATGCCAATTTCATGGTTCCCTTCAAAAGATTTTGCGAGGGCTTTGGAATGTCGATCTACACCCCAAAGCAAACCTACCTACACAATTTGAGCGAAATCTGAAAGACCGACTTGCACATATGTTCTGGTTTCTTCAGACATGCTCTCTTAATATGCACTAGGAAAAGAAAAGGCCCTAGGATGGATCCCTGGGGCAATCCGGATAGAACAGGTGAAGCATCTGAGAGAAGTCCGCCTACAAAGACAACTTGCGTTCTGCCGGATAGGTAGCCTGTAATCCACTCCAGCGCTGCGCCACACTCACCGAAAACCTTGAAAGGTTTAGCTAGTATTCTCGAATTATCAGACAGGGGTGCCTTGTCCTGGCCGGCTGTACTACCCATCAGGAGGCATGGTTTCCGTTTGTCAAGAAGAGGCTTCCATGACGCTGTGGCTTCACGATATGGCTGGCATTTGCAGTGTACGCCTGCGTCCTGTATGCGGACATGAGTTTTCGGTCGAGCATCAACTTTGTTGTAGTCGTGGGGGGGGGTCCTACCCTACAGCATAATGAAGTTGATGATCACCTGGCCGAAAAGCTCACAATGGGATGTTCCGCGGTTGGTACGGAACCAACGCTCGCACCTATAGCTGGCGAGCGTTTTCGTTTTCGAAGATCAACCAGTACGGGAGATGTGGGAGTGAACCCACCACAGTGAATAAAACAATTATAAGAAGAAAAGCAATGGTCAAAACGGAGAAGCATGGGAGGGACAGGTGATGGTGAATCAAGTGAGCAGATTTAAATGCGCCCAGGGTACTGGCATTGCGCGCAGTAGCGGGCAGCGCAATCTAAGCCGAGAAGGCAACAGAGAGTGGACACTGTACAAGGTAGGACGTTTTAGCCAAGGGGAGGGCAACAGAGCATCTTGTCTGGGACCTATCTGTGGTTCGAAACCAGTTGTACACGCTAAGATGAGGAGGATGTAGAGCTAGTTTAAATTTGTGAGCAAAAGTGCAAATTAATTTTTGGCGGTGGGTTTACAGTGGGCAAGTATTCGCAAGGACATACAGGAAACTGAAATATAGAGAAGAGAGGGTGTAGTCTAAAGAGGATACGAAGAAGTTTCTAATGGTGGATTTCGAGACGCTCAGCGAGAACCGATGACAATCCACACCAGCTAACAGCAGCGTGCATAAAATAAGGCAGGATATACAGTTTGTAAAACACAATTTTGCATTTGACGGGAAGGTGTAAACGAAGGGGAC